TTTGGAAAGTCTGTAGAGCAATGCTAAGAGGTGAAACACCACACAATCTGTACAAGTCATCAAATTTCATGTTTTGCTTTGGTTTTTTAATATGTTTTTTGCTTGAATTAAAAATCTCTCAATCTTCCTTTGGTTTTTATACCTGTAATATCACACTGAAATTCGCTAGCTTATTATTCTTATAACAATCCCAAATGGCCAGCAACACAGATTTTAACCCTATATGACAGATGAGGAAACTAAAGCTGAGAGCTTTAAATGACTTGTTCGACATGGTTAGTGACAGAGGGAGAGCTTGTCCTCAATGGCCCTGATTCTGAGTTTGCTGATCTTTTCCCAATGAATAAAAGTCACGCAGACTTCTGAGACCAGGCTGTTTAGAGAGTCAGATAAACCTGGGATCAAAACCAACTTCTCCTTAGTTTCGACGTCAGATAAATTTTTAAACCTCTCTAAACCCCATATTGGTTGTGGGTAAAATGGAGTTAAAATGGTAAAAATACATGTAAAGAACACAGCACAGAGAAGACACCTGACAAATGTAGTTCTCTCTCCTCCCTTTCTCCTACAGGACCCCTCAAATCTCAGCAGACCACCCATTCTCTGGTTGAACACCTAGATGATCAGTGAAACCTAAGTAGCTACAGAAAAGTAACTCAAGGGAGATGGGGGTATTAATAAGACAACAAACTCACGATCACGGGCGAAGAGGACCATACAGAAATTGTTGTCATGTGTGTAGCACTGCAGAGTAGCCAAAGAGGGGTTCTTTCAAAAAAAAATTCCATGATGTCAAGTCAAGTCCTTTTGAAAAGGATCAAACCACTCCTTGAACTTATTCTCTGCCAGCTCGTAAATATGGCTCACTGTTTTCAAACCATAACATAGTCAAAACACACTGAAGAGGTATAAAACATTTCCAGCCAGTGGCATGGTTTGAGACTCCTGAGTAGGCGTGCCCTAGCAGCTGCCTTACCCCACACTGGCCTGGACAGTCCCCAGCATCGTCCAACTTGTCAGCGACACAAGAAAAGTTTCAATCAGACTCCTTTAAATCTCCTCTCTGCTGGGGGCACTCAGGGACGGACACTAGCAGGGGATGGACAGGGGCCTGGGGCCACACCGGCAGCCACTGGGGGCGGAACAGAAGTGGAAGCTCAGAGGAAGTGCAGTCGCTGTTGTCAGGAGGCATGCATGGGTCTGCTGCCAAAAAACTAAGCAATTATCAAATTTGATGCTAAAAATATTAAAATACAGAGCATAATTTAGAATATTTCTTCAAATTTTGACCAAATGCTACAGAGTTATGTGCCAATAACTATCTTATATATGTGGCTCCAGTTCTTGGCACCATCCTGCAGAGCTGAGGTTATGTACTGCATATGTGGGTGGTTTAAATGCTTTATAAGGATTATGTTAAAGGTCATATTCCTCATACACATAACTTCACTTACTATTACGAGTTAGACGTGTACATAAGTAGACAATGGTTTCCTTCCATTAAATGCAACTGGCTGAAATTACTGTTTAAGTTGCCAGGTTGTAAGAGAAAAGAGATCACATTAATGAGGGTGAAGCTTTATAATCAGTTTATAAAACAAATCATGCTGAGGACAACGCTGACATCATCAACTCCCACACATCTAAGGACACTTAAAAATGTTACCATCTCTTTTTTCCCCACCACCACTGCTCTACTTCAAGTTGTTTCTTATTTCTCTTCCATTCATAAGCCGTGGACAATCATTTATCTTGGCACACAGCAATCTGGTCATGTCACCCGTCTCAGAAACCTCTGAGGGCTTCCCACTCCTGAGAGACAGAGCCCCAGCTCCTCAGCAAGGCATTCACGGCTCTCCTAAGTCTGGCCCATCCTTCTAATTTGGGGATCCTCAGTCACTAGGGGAGCTCTAAAAGAAAACAGGCTTATGTCTCTTAGCCCAGAAATTCTATTTATTAGTTCTGGGGAAAGATCCAGGGACTTGTATTTTTAAAAATATCTACGGGTAACTCTTATTCGTTGCTGAGCTTGAACCACTGGTGTAATTTTCCCACCTATTTTGCACCCAACATGGACTGAGCTTTCTGTTGCAGCCAGTACTGCTGCTTTGTTTGTCTGTCTGTCTATTTGTTTTTGCTTCTCTAGTCCTCTCTTCATGCTGTTAGTCCAACCTGGAATATAAGTTCCTCTCCCAGCTCTTTATTTAAATCTTCACTATTCCTCTAAGGCAGCAATTTTCAAACTTTTTCAACTCATGGCACACATAAACTAATTATTAAACTTCTGTGGCACATCAAAAATTATATTTTTTTGCTGATCTGACAAAAATGGGTAAAATTTTGATTGATTCACACTAGATGTCTATTGTGTTGACTGTTGCCATTTTTAAATTTGGCAATCTAAGGGAAAAGAGGCCAGCGCTCCTGACTAGACAGTTGGGGATCTCATGTTTTACAAATTCCTGGACACACTGGTTGAACACTGGTGCTCTGAGACTGACTGAAGTCCCACCAGTACCTTTAGAACCAGGGTGAAACATAAGGATACTGCCACTCTGACACTCCTAGGGCATTTGTTATCCTCACAAAGCATTTTATGGCAATTAATAACATATTGTTTGAACTCTGTTTCTTTCATACTTACTCCTTGTATTTCAGGATCCTGGAGGAAAAGCAAACTTTTTGTAACACTGTGGTTCTCTTTCCCTAGCCCCTAGCATCTACAATGGCATTAAGCATAAGTAGACTTTCACTCTTGTGCTCAAAGCTTAGGATGACTGAACACACTCACGTACAGCCTGACAAAGTAAACTGTCAACCTCTGGGCTTGTTTATGCACACAGACGTGTTTTCACGGGACGCGCCACTATGCCCGTGTAGAAATGAAGAAATAATAATCACTTGTTCACAAAAACTGATGTGATGTTAGATATAAGGTTGATACCAATAAAATTGTGTTTTTCCTATAGATAGAAATATTTTCTATGTTCATACATGGTGGGAAAAAGCAGGTTTACAGTCATTCATAAGGGAGAATATACAGGAATAACAATAAAAAATAACTGTCTTGTGTACTCATAACTGTAAACCTACTTTTGCCCACCCCTCTATATTCAATTCCCATAAGTTTGCAGAACAACAGAAAGGGGGACTTAGTAAAACAATTCCTAAACTGTCAATTATCTGACTTAAAAATCACCCACCCACATGCCAGGACAGCTGAAGCCCTCTTTACCATCTTAATCTATTCTGGGGAGAATCAGAAGAGCAAGTGTCCCCTCACCCTCAATTAAGATGACGCAAGAGTATCAGCAAACTACAGTAAATGTCACTTATGCAAATACTGGAAACTGTAAAGCTATTGGTGCGAGAGTATCAAATATGTTAGGCCACTGCTGGAAACACAGTTCACACCCCCCTGCTGCTCACGCTGCCCAGAAAGTGTCCCCTAGGGTGTGGGGGACATGTTTCCACGTCCAAAATGTAGAATTTCTCTGCAAAACAGTGTTAACATGGTGACTATCTGTAGTTAAATCAGCACTGGTACTTATGAGTTAAACAGTCTTGGGAGGATGGCTGAGAACTTAAGCACTATTTATAACATTATTTTTGTGGAAAAACGCTTTCTGCATTCCAAACAACAGAATTAGACATGAACTTCTGGAATAGGGTTTATTTCTTAGGTTGGGAACTGAGTGTATCTTGTTAATTACACTACAGGCAGCATTTTCTAGGATAAAATGCAGAAGGAACGTCTGCCAGGAGTGCATAACGGGAATGAATGGTTGCCATGAATCGGAGCCATGTGTGTCTACAAGGCTGAAAAATGGCTGGCATGATGGGAGAAAAATCCAGACACATTCTTAATTTGCTAAACAAATATTTACTAAACTCTGTTAAGGGCTATGCTGAAGGCTGTGAGAGGCGGAAATAAGTCAGATAAGAGGTTTGATTTTACAGTCCTTACAACGTAGTTGGCGATATGAGACAGACAAACATAAGTAATAAAACTGCATGATAAAATGTGCTATCTTAGTGACAAAAACAAAATATTAGATGAAGTAGCAGATGGCAAACTAATGCTTCCAGCTGAAGCAATCAGGGAAAGCTTCATGGAGGAGCTGGCACCTGGGCTGAGTCTTGAGAACTTGCACAAGATTTCAACTGGCAGAGGAAACAATTAGGGAAGAAGAACAGGGAACATCATAGAAAAACATCAAGAAACAACAGTACAAATCAAGACACAGATAGGAAAAACAGTGAGAATTTAAAACATAGGAAAGACTCCAGTTGGTGAAAGTGGGGATATTTTCAGGAGCTTGGTAGAGGGCTTTGAATGCCAGGCAACAGAGCATGGGTCCCGCCCCACAGTGAGTAGGAGCTATCAAAGGGCTTTAACATTACTGCAGTGATTCTATACACAGACCCATCTGGCAGCAGAATATGGAGCGAGAATGAAGACAAAAGACCATTAGGAGATAGTTCTAAGAGTTGAGGTTGGATAGGATGACTTTTCAAAGCTAGGTTTTTAAATAAATTAAATAAATACTTATACCTTTAAGATTCAAGTGTCATTTAACTGCGAAATATCTCCCTTTAATGATCAAGAAGGCATAAATCATTTAGAAAAGCCGGATAAAGACTTAAACTGAAAAACAAAAAATTACCTACAATGCAAAAAACCCTTTAAAAACATGAGTTTGGCACATAGTCAGGACTATGATGACTAGAACTGATACAAAATAAAAGATTATTCTGAGGTGTTAGTCTCATTTTAAATATAATACCACAAGTTTAAACATTATATTTTAATAAGCACATGAAATGTAATAAAAGTAATTGTTCCACTATTTTCTAAGATGTGTGATTCAACATACAAGGGGAAGCTAAGATATTCTGAGAAATTTGAGAGTTGAGAAAGAGTCAGAGGGAGTGGACTTAATTCTTTGCATTTTAAATCAATCTTAAGTTGGTGCTAAGATGGATAAAATGAAACTTACTTGAATGAAGTACTATGAGTTAGCAAATGTCTTCTAACAGCCAAATTTTCGGTTTTCAAAAAGACATGGTATTCATCTTTACCTGAAAACAAATTTAATGGGAGTAATGAAATGGAAGTAATTGATAGGTAGCATATAGAAGTCAATTAGATTATTATATTTTAAAGATCATAAAAGAGTTATATAAAGTCCTATAAAAATTAAAGCACTTATACTATGTATATTAAAGGCCTAAGATAAAAATCTCAAACTGTGCTCAAAGACTTCTAAAATAGGAGATATAATACATTCCATTCATATGTTTTGTTAATTTCTTAAAAGTTCTGGAAAATATATTACTATTTAGCCTGATTACATATTTAAAATTTAGCCAACAATCAAGCCCTATTCAGTATCAGAACAGGGGAGTATTAGAACAAGTTGAATAAGAGATAGTTTCTGTCCCTAAGACAAGTACAAACCACCAGAGGAGACAGGAAAACATGGATAACCCTGTATCGAGTGCTACAAGCTGTAAAGGTGCTGTGGGGTTCTGGAGAGGGTTGATGACTACATGGAATATACAGGAAGGCTCTGTGTTATGGACTGAATTGTGCTCCCTCCACCCCAAAATCAGGTGTTGACACCCTAATCCCCAATGCCTCAGAATGTGACTGTGTTTGGAGATAAGGCCCCTAAAGAGGTGACTAAGTTAAGATGAGGCTCCTATGGTGGGCAGTAATCCAATCTGACTGATGTCCTTATAAGAAGAGATTAGGACACACAGAGAGACACGGGGCGGGGGGCGGGGGGTGCACACAGAGAGGAAAGACCACATGAGGACACAGCAAGAAGGCAAGTATCTGCAAGCCAAGGAGAGAGTCTAAAACCAAACCAAACCTGGGGACATCTTGATCTTGGACTCCTAGCTTCCAAAACTGAGCAAACAGACACTAGCAAACTAACATGCTCTATAAAGATAAATTTAAATAGAGCTTCAAGAAGTAGGACTATTAACAATGAGAACCAAGTTAGGTTTGGAAACAGCATTCCAGGAAGAAATAAAAGTTCCTTTATTGTATATAAGTGGCCACAATGTACAGCATGAGCTCAGAATAGTCAATGCACTTCTATAATAAGAGTGCAGTTTGGGGGTAAGGAGGAGAAAAGTAAAAAGAGGAGGAGGGAGGGAGGGAGAGAAGGAATGAGGGAGGGACCAGAGGGAAGGAGGGTGGGATGAGAAGCAACAGACAGGTAAGGACTGGAATTTGGGGTGGCGTAAGAGAGGTTGAATACTACATTCAGTACAAGGGGTTCTATTTTGTACGTAAAAGGAGGCATCAAGGATTTTTCAGTAGAAAACATGTTTGAATTTGTATTTCACAAAGATGGGTCTGGTTTTTGAGTATGAGTTACTATGAGTAGAACCACAAGGGGCAGTGAGACCTTCTTGCTACTGCAGTAGTCAAGAAGAAACGAGAGCAACTGCAACGAAAGCAAAAAGTTAAAGACTCACTGAAGATGTCCTTGCAGATGAGAACCAGAGAACCAGAATGACCACCCCATCAGTTAGGCAAGACTGAGAACTGGAACAATCACCACTGCTCATTTATACAGTTACAAACACAGGGTATCTTGGGCCTCAACAGACCTTTCTTCTCAATCATTAATTACCATGTGCTGTGGACACTGACCATTACCTTAAGAAATCAACCAATCCAAAGACTCGCCCTACTCCTCTCTTACCTTGGAACTCCAGAGCCCAACCTATAATCAAGAAAAACCTAAACTCATTTCCTCAAAGGAGGCACCACTTCACAATCATCTATGTGGTCTCTCTCGCTCCAGCAAGTCAACGAAACAGTGTGCTTATCTCCTATAATATTATTTATTTATTTATTTATTTATTTATTTATTTGAGAAGGGGGCTCTCCACAAAAGACTGATGTCAATCAGTGAAGTCAAGAAAGAAGGGCAAAAGGAGGGAGGGCCCGTCCGGCCTTTTCAGAGCAGGAGGAGGACTCAGAACTTAACAGTTACTGGGAGCCTCAGAAAGAAACTTTAGAAAGGCAATGAAAGAGAACAACATTTCCAATAATTAGGGGGTTAAAGAAAAAGGAGAAATGGAACTAACTAGTCACTTTTACTCTTCTCAGGAGTCTCGCACAGTGTGAAAGCGATGCTGAATCCTTAACAGTACAGTCCAACCTTGGTTCTTGAACGTCTCCCATCTCAAGTAGGTTCTCAACCAAGCTGTTCATAGGAAAACTCTCTCCGTTGTCAAAAAAACTTCACTTCTCGACCTGACAACCCTTTCATGCTGATACTGTGTGAACAGTCACCCGTCTCTCGGGCGACAAAGGAGAGAAGGCACAAGTATGAGTCAATCTACCACTAAACTTTGTGTTGTTAACAGCTCAGAAAATTGTGCTATGGGTATTTTTGTGGTTTTCTTTTGCTTTTGTTGCTTATTATTATTAAATATGTACAGAAAGTCACTATGGGTCCTAAGAAGGTTAGTGATAGCAGCAAAGTGAAAAGGAAAGTTGTGAGAACAACAACAGAGCTTTAAAAATAATTGCAAAGTATGACAGAGGGGTTCACAGGTCTGATCTGCCTAGAGTGTGGCACGGTGAAATCAATGACTGGCACAATTTTAAAACATAAAGGGGCCATCAATAGTACTGATGTTACTAAGGGTGTGAAGGTGCTCACAAAACAACCAAAGGCAATAGAAGAGGTAGAAAAATTGTTGATTTGGAAGAACGAAAAGCAGATGGCTGGCGGTAGCATTTTGGAGGCAATAATATGTGAAAAGGCAAAGACGCTGCACACTGACCTCCTGACAGACAGACACGCCTGGAACGAGTGCTGAAAGTGACTCGCTTAAGGCTCGCAGGGGCTGGTTCGATACATTTATGAAGTGGCATTCATAGTGTAGTGAGGCGTGGGGTGGCTGCCAGTTCTAACAAAGGAGCTGCTGATAATTTCATGATAGAATTTCAAGAATGCATAGAAGCTGAGGGATTTTTTTTGCCCCCAACAAGTGTTCAATTGTGATGAGACAGGTGTTTCTTGGAGGAAAATGCCAAAGAGAACCTACATCACACAGGAAGAGCAGTCACTACCAGGATATAAGCCAATGAAGGACAGGCTGACGTAATTGTTGAGTGGGAATGCGAGTGAGAACTTTAAATCGAAGCCTCTACTTGTCTACCCTTCTGAAAACCTGAGAGTTTTCAAGAAAAATAATGTCATGAAAAACAAGTTTAATGTGATATGGAGGGCTAATAGTAATGAATTCACGCAGTGTTTGCCCCAAATGTGAAGAAATGCCTCTGGGAAAAGCAATCACCACACAGGGCACTTCTTGTAAATGGACGATGCTTGTGCCCACCCTGCAGCCCTGGAGGCCCAGTTGGTGGAGGAGTGGAGCCTCATCACTGTTCGGTTTTTGCCCCTTAACACAACTCCTCTCAGCCAGCCCCTGCACCAGCAGGCCATTTCTAATTTTAAGAAACTACACAAATGTACTGTTGGAGAGGTGTTTTGAGGTGATCTCTGAAAGCAATTTAACCCTCAGGGAGTTCCGGAAGGGACATTTTACTATCCTCCCGTGCTTGAGGCGCACAGACAAAGCATGGGGGGAAGCATCTTCCAGGACCACACAATCAGCCTGGAAGAAGCTGTGGCCTGAGTCTGTCGCTGAAACTTGGGGGCTTTGAAGATGAGCCTGTGCCTGCTGTGGAGGACGCTGGGTCCCTGGGCAAGTCCATGGGCCCAGAGGCGGATGGTGACGGCGGGGAGGCGTTGGTGGAGGACCCCACACTGAGCTGACCACCGAGGAACTCCAAGACCTTCAGAGGGGGTTAGCAACAGACAGCAGCTGGGGAGCCTTCTTCGGAGGCGGAGGAAAGGGAGGATATTCCTACTTCACTATCAAGGAAATGCTTGGGAAATGGGGAAAATGTGAAGTTTTAGTGAGAAATATCACCTTGACAAAGAAGTAGCAGACCGTGGGACACACTTGTCCAGTGATGACACAGTGTTTCACTTGAAGCAAGCGATAAAACTCAGGCACAAACATCGCTGGATAGGTTTTCAGCGACACAGAGGCCAAGTGAGCCCGAGGCAAGGTCTAGTGGAGGAAAACGACAGGAGAGAGGAAGAGCCCCAGAGGAACAGCGACCTGATGTTTTTATGAAAGGGGCTCCCCTTCCAAACCACATCATCCTTCCTCCCTCCTCTCCATCTGCAGTCATCGGCAGCTCTCAGCACTAAAGGTAAGTTCAAGTGTGTATGTAAATTTTCTTTTTTTATTGTGCATTTCATTTCCTTTCTGTTAAATTTTCACTTACATTTCATGTTCTTTTTGTTTTTAGAGTGTTTATGGATTTAGCAATACATTAGACATGCACTGTATATAAGAAAGGTTAAAACAGGGAATCATTTGGGGGTATGGAATAAATTAATTCAACTTACATAATTTCTAGTGGGAAAAAATTATTTGGTTTTTGAACAAATTGCTTCTTGAACAGACTTTCAGAATAAATTAAGTTCAAGGTCCAAGGTTCCACTATACTTTTCAAAAAAATTTTTAATGCCAGTAAAAGGGAGGTATACAAAGGGATATTGATAAATAATGAACCAAATTCAAGAGAAGATGAGAACAAGAATGGCGGAAGAATTAACCATATTAAAGAGGAGAAACAGTCTCTGTGATTGGAAATGGAGGAAAGGATGTTTGATGTATATAAATAAAAATTGTATGTAAGGGAATAAACTTGTGGGAGTAAAGATACAATGGTAAAACCACCTATTGAGATACAGGGGGAGGGAGAGGGAGGGAAGAAAGGAGAGATGAGGAGATACAATATGAATGAAGGAATGTCCGAATTTAAGATTTGGAAAGCAAAAAATTGCCAGAGAGGAGGAGAAAAAAATGAGGGGGGGGGGCAGCTTTTAGTATTTGAGATTTTGAAATGATTGCAGTTGACAGAACTGAGCAAGTTAAAAAATAATGATTTGTGTATCAGAACATCAATGACACAAACTAGGAGAAAGCGACTATAATCACAGTGTGTGGGGTTGAGAGGAGATGCT